AGGAAGATGGCTTATCAGTTTTTGAATACATTCAGGAGAAAAATTAATGAAGCTAAGAGAAGCATCAGACAACGAAGGAATTAAAGGGATCGGATCAGTTTCAATGGTGAAATGTTTGGCAAAGAACGAATTTAAAATTTCAGCTTTGCCTGACTCCTCAGTAATGAAGGTATCACAAGCACTGAGCAAGGGCGGAATGACTTGGTGGGACTTAGCAGATGATCGCTGACGGAAGATCTGAGCAACTGATTTAGAAGCATTCACGTCATTAATAGCTAAAGACTCTCTACGCCTATCTCGCTCGAGCCTCATTTTCGAAGCTAGTTCAAATATTTCAACGATTCTTAGATGAATTGATAATGAGCTCACAGAAGGATCTTTAAACTGCTCCCGTAACTTTTTAAGTCTGTTTTTAAGAAAGTGTGGGATAGCGGTGGAATTAGCACTCGATTTGAACATCTTCCGAGGAATAAGGTCAAGAAGATCTTCTGTTACGCATTGTAATAAATTGTTGAAAAAATTTAGATCATTATTTGAAAAAATATTGTGCCAATCAAGAGTGCATGTAAAGTTATTTACTAAATCCTTATTAACATTAGCAAAGTCAAAAATACTACGTTGAACTGTTGGCTTTGCGGAAATGGTAACTGGAAGGCGAAAATGGATTAATGCATGATCAGTTGCAAAGAGGTCATGATAAAAATCCATAGATAAAGGGAAGGTGCCATTAGTAAAAATTAAGTCTCAAACACTATCGTTTCTGGTCGAAGAGTGAACTAATTTAGCCAGGTTTGAAAAGTAAATTGTGTCAAGCAGCTTCTGGAATTTAGGAGGAGAAGTATGTGTGTGCCAGTCAATTTCTGGCAAATTAAAATCGCTTCGATTATCTTGACATCGAAAGAAGATTCTGCAATTTTTTGAAAGAGTTCACAAAGTTGGCTTTCATTTCCGGAGGAACAAGGACGATTATATACACATCCGGCTAAGGCTTTCCTATTTTGCGGAAGAATTACCGAAGCAAAACATAAATTTCCAAAGAAGGAGGAAATGTTCAAGTTATAAGGCGATTGTGCCAGTGATGCTCTAATGTAAAGAAGGCACCCACCGCCGCGTCTTTCGGCATGGTCCTGGCGGTATAAACTGAGGCTATCTATATTAAGTGCGGAGTCTGAAATAAGAGAGTGGGCCCAAGGTTCTGTAATGCACAATACGTCTGTGTCAAACTTAACAGCTACACTTCTTAGGTGTGCCATCTTTTGCACGACAGATCTTGCGTTCAGAGAGACAATACTGAGCATATTCCTAATATCTTGTGGTGTGGAAATTCGACCGTTGGGACTTTGAGCATTTGGGTATCCTTATAATATTTTCGTTATTTCTGGTGTTTCTGGGACGTTTTGGTCTGTAAGTAAATTCATTTTGAGAATATCGCGGTCATGGTTGACCTCGAATGGGAAGTTTAGACTATTTTCGCTTAATGCAACCAGATAGCATAGTCAAATGCGATGTTCTTATCAATCCCACCTTGAACCATCTAGGGTAACTGCTATCCACGTCATGCACTCTTTTGTCCGCCCGCCACACCGCCGTTCTTTGAAGTGAGTCCTAGTTACAGGCCCACAGCACGTAAGTGTGCAGCGCCAGTGGCTGTCCTTGCATCGTTTTAATCAACTGTGGTCGCACACTGGAGTGCTTCTTTGATTGACCCCACATGTCCTCCAAGTTTCCTGGTTGTCGCGACAGCCGTGTCTGCAGTCGCGCAGCATCTTTTTCCCAGAGAAGACGGAATTTGCCGCATTCATCACCCTTGTACCCTAATATTGTGTCCAGGCATGGTGGCCCTGGACGAAAAAAGATTACGCCCTACTGGAGAACGCACAACGAATAGCGACCAAGCTAGTCGGCGGAGTAAATAGCCTGCCTTATGAGAGACGGCTGGAGAAGCTAAAAATCTTTCTTCTCTCTTATAGACAGTACAGAGGGGATATGATCATTGCCTTCAGCATCGTCCGAGGGCTAAACTATGCTTTTCGGTTTGACGATTTCTTCGAACTGGCGCGGAAGACAAATCTTCGAGGGCACCAATACAAATTGAAGACGAAGTATGCCAAAGTCGATTTGCGGGCCAAATTCTTCTCCCACCGGCTGGTTGAGGGATAAAACTAATTGCCGAACTCCGTTGTCTTAGCGGAAAACGTCGAGACTTTCAAAAGAAGACAAGATAACTTTATGCTTGATGGTAAACATTTACATGATGTCAATGACTGGCATAACTGCTATGTAAATATCTGCATGTTTTTTTCATAGGTCTATCTGTAAATAGGTTTTTAAAGGCTCTGCCTCTATCCCTCATATATACTGAATTATACTTAATTAAAAGTCTCATCGAAAATGGCAGTCAGCGGGCGTACCCTTCAGGTATGAGTGGCATCAGAAAACCGTACTTAGATTGCAATTTTAAGCTGCTGACACAACCGACAATAGCTCATTCGCGGCATACAGTTCTTATTCATTAGAACTTTACTGAAGCATTGCCCATGCACCACCTTTCACCACACCGTAACGTTTAAGTAATCTATAAAGTAAGCTAGTGTAATAAGTCCTCGAAAAGTTGGGGACAGTTTGCATAACAGCATTTGTCTGGACGTTCGCCATTTCAGTCATTCATCAAAAACACCTGTTCTTAATAAGCCTATTTAAAAGCCGGCATTATTTTGCTCGATTACGAGACGCTTCGTAAGACATAGGCAAAATTAACCTTTTGCATAATTGCTGTGCTTGGTACAGTGGCTAAAGATCCCATTCGAGATTTATCGTGCTTAGTAAGTATCAAAATGCGATTCGGGTAGCTATTGAAGTTTCTTCAGCCAAGTCGAAAAATATTGATAACAAAGAATGAATTAAGAATTAGGAAATAGGAATGAAATTTCAGCATGGCTAGCCATGCCACGTGATTAGTCGCCATTCAGTCCATTACGACTTCTTCTAATTTGCAATGCATAGTCCGGCTGACTCTATATCAGTGGAGCTGTCCTCCGCTCTCCGGCACTTTACCGTGCGCTAAGCTAATGACTACCAAAAGGGATGTTCGCCGGGAGAGTTACAACAGCATCTACAGCCACTTTTACCATTATGCCGTGATTGAATTTAAGTAGCAGTTGTTCTTCCGAAAGTTGCTTCTGTAAGCGGCTGGCGAGGGACGAATCCAAAATCAGCCGTATGTTTGAATTTTACTGCACGATAATTATCATTACATCCTAGCCGAATTCATCCTCCAAAAACAAACATGTATTTAAGTATTCCGGTTAACATTTCTTGCAATGCTCCGTGTTGACCTATTCCCCACAGTACGAACTCGCCGGCAAATACTAAGAAAATATGTTTTGAATAAAAAGAAGCTCACCTCTCCATTATGAAATTCGGTATGAAGACATTAGTTTTTACAGAATTTATACAAGAAAAACTGGTTTGCGGCTAGATTTCGTAGAGTACATTTCATTTTATAAGGCCATTCAAATTAAGTGGCAAAAACTTATGTTACTCAGAGAATAATTTTCTCTGAGCGTTTTTTCTGCGCGCGGTTGCCAAAAGAACATTTGAAAACCAACTTCCCAAGCATTCGATAACCACTGAATAGTTCTAAATTTTTGTCTGTTGCTCAGTATACTGGTATTTATTGTGAGTCGGGAGGTTGCGCCCGTTCAAAGTCAAAATGTTGCAACATTTTCGGCACTCCACCCCGCTCCTCCTCAACGCGAAACAAGGTCGCATTCGTGTAGTGCTTTCATATGCGACAACGTTGGCTGTCGCATAAACAATTAACGGTAGCAAGCGAGACAGAATATTTAGCGTAACTCTTCTAATTAGCAGCTTATTTTAAACCACATCGCGTCGAATTTTGTCTTAGAGGCTATCACCACACTGTCAAGTCGGCCTAAGGTTGCTGCTATAATAATTGTAATAGTAATAATAATAATAATAATAATAATAATAATTGTATTTTGTGTCCGTTTACAGGCATGGTCAGGGAAAGGTTCAAGACAAATCCGGTCAACAATGAAAAAAACTCCTGTCAAAAAATAAACATCGTGATGGTTTTATAATTTTGAGGGTTCAGGAGAAAAAAAAACTGCTGCCGACGAAATGACTACAGTCAATAAAAGGAGCGGTAGAATTGTATTGGATATTATTAGTCACCAAATCTTTTCATGAAGTTGGGGCTGGACCAAACAGAAGCACCGAAGGACAACTGTTACTGTTGACTAAAGAAATTGCCCCTGGTGTGACCGGCTATAGAGATCAGAGATCACAAACGCCGTCGCTACGGTATAGTCGATCAGTGGACTCAACACCTAAAATTTGTAGAAGTACTTCGAAATGTAAAAAGCGAGAAATAGTTACTTTAAACAAAGAATAATTTTGTAGAGTTTTCACATACCTGGGTAATTTAATCTATCGCTTTCTCCACGATCTTCTTGTACTTGTACATAGCTTCTCAAATCTCACGACTGTTTGGATAGTTTCCCCTTTCTTGTTGAAAGTAAAAGAAGTTGCGAGCGATTTAGCTTGAGTTTCGATTCGGATCCCTTCCTTTTATAGATGTCTTTCAAACTCCCTGATGGTTGGCTAAATTAAGTTGCCGATCACGAGCTCATAAAATGGTATTTTGCTATCCCAAGACTCGCAATTTTGGGCGTAAAATCCCAGAACCAAATTTTTCTGTCTTTGCCGCCGCAACCTCGTGGTTTCCTACGCGACAGCCCATGCTTAAATGTTATATTTCGTGCGATTAATAAAGATTTAGAGTAGGAACGAGTGTGCAGACAACCATTGCTTTGCATTGTCAACATGAGATCTGGGGTTCTAGGTTTAAGCTTCAATATCCAGGAACATTCTGTCCAAGATATCTATGATACTTTATGCGGATACTTTTACTGAACCACAAGCGTCAAGTTAGGGAAACGGGACATCATTGTTTATAGGAACGCCACATTTTCAAAATGACCACTGGAGATGCTGGAAGGCCGGTCAAAACACTCTACGATGAAATTCAAGGCACTTATGCTCCCGTTAGTCGAGTACGAAATCCTTGTTTTGTTCAAGCACTTGTAGGAGGAAGTTATGCACTCAATGGTAGTGGTTACGAAGTTTGGCCCACATATCAACGATAAAGTTCTTGTTTCGAGTAAGTTAATCGAGACCTTTGCTTATGTCTGATTTCCTACTGAACCTCCTACCGCAGGTTACCAGACCATATAATGTTACCGGCATCGTTCTTACGTATCCCAAACATGCAGTTCTAATCCTTGAAGTAACTTGTGGTTATATTTGATTGCTAAAAAATTCACTAAGGCCCCAATAAAATCACTGCTAACCGTATTAAAGGGACTAAATGCATCTGAATGTCTTCTTAAAAAAGCGATTAAGGATTATTACGAGGTTTCCGTAGTTCCCAATGCCGAAGAGGACGAAACTCCGATAGAAATCTCTGATGAAGAAATTATCAGAAAAATGATCAAAAATCCTGAAGCCTCCCCGATTATACAAAGCAGGATACTTTGCATTCTTCACGACTGTAAATTTCGCATATTCAAAGCGTTTGAATTGAAAATATTTGACATGGAGGCGACGCCACTCCCCGAAGTGTCAGAGCCAAATGAGGATGAGAAAAAGTTGATCGAACTACTTCAACAGCTAACAAGGTTAAGCGTTTACCTGGTATCATCGGCAATGAAGGTACTGCATTCAGTTTTGCAAGGAAAAATCTATGCAGTACCTCCTTCTCTAAGTCTTTTACAGTAAATTGGTAGAATTGGCTAACTAGTTGATGAAACTCTTTCCGAGGATGGCGAGAGGAAACTGCTTGATATTTTTTATAAGCAAGGGTATTCCCCTTTTTTAAAGATTTGCATAGGAAATTAGTTTTAAACAAAATGTAGATGATATTCTGCAGTGTCCTGTGAAGGAAATTCTAGAACGTAAATATTAGCGATGCCACACTTCATGCATGTCAGTACAGGAGCCCCCCCGCGCAATCTGGGTAGTTAATTAGGAGGTCCCGTTGGTAAGGGCTTTAATAATGTCGCTCAGGCCGTCACCGTCAAGATCTGGCCTTGCGTTTTTCAGATTTGATAAAATGATCTTGGGGACCCAAATTAATTTTTTGAGATATGTTAACGCACTCTGTTATGACTTAAAGCCTTCAATTTGTTCTCAAATATATACAGAACATCTACTTAAACTTAGATGCTTGTCTTAAACCTCTACTCGTCTCACAATGGATGGATTAAGAGAATGAAGATGCTAAGTTTACCATCACTGGCCAGGATATATGACCTCCAGGTAGTGGACTTACTAAACAGATTACTTTTCATGTAGTTATCACTGTAAAACTTTATACTATGACTTTTTAGTCCATTTGTACTATTTCTTGCCTATGATCTGCTGTCGTTGAAGTCATATGGGCCTAGAGTTAAAATTCAATCTTAATGGTGTAAGACCAACTCGACAACGATTGCGCACGAGCTACTAAACCTATTTAGCTTAAAACAGTGTTTGGAATTGTGCAATCTGTTAAGTACCTAAAAATTACCTAAAAAACACGGTAACGTACTTGATAATATGAGATGTTCAACCACATTTATCAGCGCACATCAGGACTGTTTTTGGAAAGATTTTTTACAAATAAAGAAGATCTATTCCATATCAGTAGTTCTTTGGGTCCGTGCCTTTCGACAAGCATATTCGAGAGTCTAAGTACCGAAATGGACATGCATACTTAAGACTTTGTTCAATGTTTTTGGTTTTTTATAGCAATTTTCCGGGATTCACTTTTGAGAACCTTAAACTTTGTTTCCTTAAAAAACGTTTCTAAAATGATAATCCTATCACTCCTGTTTCTGGAAAATTTCGAAGATAAAATGGGAATTTTGTACATCGATCAGTTTACGGTACATACTCTTCCACTGCCCCATGAGAATCCCGCTAAGACCTTTGTAGGCATTCGTACAGTGGCCAGCTAGGAAGCAGAAAGGAAAAGCGACAAAGACGAGGGAAACTAGGGGGGCTTTTTTCGGTTTTTTAGTCGTCTCTACTTGATCATGCTCAAAAAGTATTCCCGATCGCAAAACACCAAGACAGTGGGCCTGTGTCTCAGTGACAAAAATTTGGACCTAGCACTGTTGTACGTATGATCAAATAACTTATGCTCGAGCACTAGATCCTCTATTCCGTTTCATGGTTAGGTGGTTGATTTTAAGATACGGAACAAATAGACCACTCTTTCCGCTGATCTATACAAATATTTATGCACATACTGACACCCATATCCCCTGGCATCGTCGGACAACCCCTTCTCGAGACAGTTGTCCAAAATAGCCTATATTACATACCGCTGTGGGTCTGTTGGCAGGGCTCGAGAAAGAACCCCAAGTCACAATGGAGTGGATGAGTTCCGTAATATGATCGGTCTACGTCCCTCAGTCGTTGTCAGTATACCCGATCGCAATCTACAGGACAACGAGCCTGTGGCTCTCAGCGTTAGATTTCTGACCAACAGATTACGAGCTTGAACCTCAGGTTTGCATACCTCAGGGATGGGTTTGAGTGGTGGACGACTGTTTATAAGCCAGAAACGGTCATTCTAATCTCCCTTATAATTGTTGGTATCACCATCCCTACAAAATTTTAAAATCGCTTCTTGTTTTAGTTAGATTTTGTCTATTGATAGTGTTTTTCTGCCAAAACCCCTTTGTTAGGCAGACCAAATTAAACACTAAGTTCATACAAAAGTCGAAACGAAGACCTGTTTAAATCATACAAATAAGCGATGAAAATCTTTGTGATATTTCCCACATTCATTTGCCTATCAGTGCCTTTTTACGTTGCTTATTTTGGGTTTGCGTCTCTACGCCTTTTAGTACGACCAAACTAAAAAACCTTGCTTATATTTTTCTATTCTGTTCAAGCTTTCTCTGTCGACTCGATTACTTTGCCCTGTTTGTGGCAAGGTCTTAATGGAACGTTCTGTCTCCCTGTCCGGACACCAGCCAGTTTACCACCTGATCTGTATATTTATTCTCAGAGTTAGAGGCCGCAAATATCATTTCCGAGCTCCATTGTCACTTATTGCCATTCCGTACTGTTAATGAGAATACTCCCTCTTTTTCTCAGCCAAACCAATAGCCATCCGAAACGTTCTTCTCGTGAACACTTCAGCAATCACTTAAGATGTCTTTAGGAAGAAATGGCCAACATTCGCCAAAGTGTGAACTAATTGCGTACAAACAATTTTCCACAAGTTATATAATTGAGAATTCTCTTACGGGTTTACTTATATTCCCAAAAACGGCAGCCCAAAGTGGATAAGTTGAGCGTCAATTGTACAGTTAGGGAGGTCTTTGAATCTCAGTTTCTTATCACTTTTGAATAAAAATCCCTAAAGTCAGAAATACAGTTTCTGGGTCATTTCTGTAAGAGCAATGCGCTCAACCACTGTCGGTGTTTCTGTGATAATATCAGGCACGTTTTAGACCGCGTGAACTCTTTTTGATAAGCTGTAAGTCAATTGTTGCTAGAAATTCCCCTCTGCTTGTATTATTACATAACGACTGACGCAAAGCAAGTTAAAACTGGTGTATTTTCTTTTGCGGCCTGATATCCCTCGCCAGGACCGGGCTCTTATAATTATTTATAACAGTTTCTTCGAACACCTCTGCTACCGATCGATCACCGGAGTTGCTCATGTACCTTTAGGCTCACAAGTAGAACCCATATTAAGTCCATTCATCAAGAATGTTTTGTCAGGAGGACCATGGGCTTCTTCGGCAGACATAAATTGGTGACTTCGAATTTTTTTATGGTGCCTTTGGCGTCATGCAGTCCAGGTGTCATGATATCCATTATAATTGGTCAATATTACGGGAAATTCTACATCTGCGAGAGATCCGGAGAAACCTTGCGCATCCATGAAGTATAGAGATGAAACTTTAACCCTACAAGGTAGACGTGCACAAACTTTATAAAACATGGGGAATATTGGGCACGGAAGTTCATAAATCTGTTAGGAGGTTTTCTTTTCCCGTACTTGTCTTTACACTACTTTAAGCAGAGCCGAAATACACTGAACTTTATTGAACGAGACCCCAGAGTAGAAAATGAGGACGTCAGGTTTTTGAAAAATACGCGGAATCAACAACCCTACTGAACGATTAAGCGTTGCCGGATGATCTTTACTAACTCAAGCGCACTTAAAGTCCGCATTTACTACCGACTCAAGTCCATCTAACGTGTTTCTTCCGAGTTCAGTCTCCTTCAGTATGGTCGGTTTGCTGAACCTTAAGTTCTCCTTATAAACGATTAGGAGAAAAAGAACCATTATCCCGACCTAAAACAACAGTCACTAGGTCTTTTGGTCTTATTTTGCCCAGTTTTTCAAACAGAAGCTATCCTTTACTAGGTTAACTGTATCATCTCGATAATCTAACATTGGAATATATTTGCAAAATTTTGCCCGTAGTGTGATACTTTCTCCCACAATGGTGACAGACGCTTATGGGCGTTTGCTGAGGGTTTTTCCGGATTATACGGGTTTTTGAATGCATGCATTATCTAGGAAGTGGGTCACTTTGGCGGGCTGCCATTCGCCTCATATACCTCGTCTGATGACACCGTCTGCCCAACTCACATCCACCACTATGTGGGGCTGCTCTGGACACAGTAACGAGGCAGGATATGTCCCTCTCTAGAGGAGGAGGAGGAGGAGGAGGAGGAGGAGGAGGAGGAGGAGGTCATGTTATTACAAGCGTAGGCTGGTAATAAGTTGGACATTGCACCGAAGTCTGTGAAAAGTGGGTGATACCAGTGTTACACCCGTCTCTCCCTCTCGCTCTGTGATTCGCTTAATGTCGAGCCCACCGCTGATCATTAATCCATCCAATTTTCTCTTCAATACTGAAGTTTATAACTGTGAGTGTTTTAGGGCTGCGAAAATCCCTGTAGCAGTATTCAAAAGATGAGTTGGCGAGTTTATGTTTACTTTCGATTTATTCTCCTTTGGCCAGTACATTTATATAAAAAGGCGATGCAGTCAAATATGTCAGTGACTGTAAAATTGATAAAAGTTAGTTTAAAAAATACAGGCGGGGTGAAAGTGAAAAGGCAGGGAAAGTTGCATGTAATTAGTCCACTTTTGACCAGGGTGAGCGCGGAGCCCGAACGAGGTTCCTCTGCGCGCATAGGGTCGCTTGTCGTAAGCTGATTGCGACTGCTTCTGCTGTTGCCAACAGACGCTGAGCCAGTAGCTTAGGATGGCCCGAGGGGACCTTATAAATCACACGAAAAGCTTCGCTGCGGTCCACACGATGTTTTGAATCAACTGCACGCGCAAGAATGATATTACTTATGCTCCTAATTTCGTCTTTCTCCAACCATGCGTGGAGATGTTCTGGTATGCTTTTTGATAGACGCCGACTCGTAAAACCAATTAACCTCCTCCACAGGAGCAAGTGAAAGAATAGATGCACACTGAGGTGGTCTGAGTTGGCAACCTATTCTCACGTCCGCGTGAAATAGGGTTCGTAGACAATAATATTCTAATCCCTGCTGCCGGGAATGTTCGCGAGACAGTCTCATCATGGCGTCTTCTTAGGAGTATATTCACAAAATCTCCTTGAAAGGAACTTTGAGGAACAAACTTTTCTTCCTGGCCGTCAGTATGGTGGGGTTTATCGGTCGTTCGCAACATTATTTGTAATAAACCTGTCAGGACACCCGTTTTTGCAAAGCAAACCCTTCATTTATCAAAGCTCCTCCTTAATGCTGTCTGTTGAACACATTTTTCTAGCCCCTTGTGTCAAACATCGGATTTCGACAGTTTCGCACTCCTTCAACAACAAAGAAATCTAGTCCGGTGTTCGGTACGATAAGTTAGGAAAATGCGTTCAACGCACAGCATCAAGGAGGTCCCCTCGAGCCATCCTAAGCTACTGGCCCAGCGTCTGTTGGCAACAGCAGAAGCAGTCGCAATCAGGTTACGAAAAACGACCCTATGCGTGCAAAGGAACGTCATTCAGGCGCCACGCTTACCGTGGTCAAAGGTTGACTAATCACATTTAACCTTTCGTGCCCTTTCTCTCTCGCCCCGCCTGTGTTTTAAAAGCAACTTTTATCGACTTTTTAATCACTGAGATCAGGTTAGCAAACGTAAGAGATCCGAGCCGATAATCTAAGAAATGTGGGTGGCTCACCGGATCAGGGGAATTGTGTGGCAGACTTTTCAGAGGGCTTGGCTGGCTCTTCATTTTGAAAGCCTTTTTGTGAAAATCGACCAGAATTTCAAATAAACGATCTAATTATTTGACCTTGGACCGATCGATCTTCTCTTCTTTCTCGACCTTTTACCTTCTGGCCGTTTTCGGTGAATGTTGGCGGCCTCCTGCGCTGTGTGTTGTCACCTCAATGGGGTTCGGTTGCACCTGTACTCTCCTTTTGAGTAAATTAGCCGACGGGCCGTGTTTGCTCGGTATTTCTAGATTCCGTGTGACTATCTTGTCCTGGTCATGGCGTATGTATTGAAGTATGACTTTATGGGCTGCAGGAAGGTCTAGCTGTCTGTTGATGGAATTAGCATCTGATTAACAAGTCTCGAGTGTAAGAAGTTCTGCCCTTGAGATGGTCCGGCTTAAGACGGTTGCTCCTTAAAATTCAAAACTGTAGCCACTTTCTCCGATGTGAGTCGCAAGCTGTGAGCTCGAGTTTAGTCTTCGAGTTACCAGTTTGTGCTCATGTAGACGCGTCTACAATTTCGTCCGGTTTCCCCAACTATTTGCAGTCTCCATCGTTGCAGCCGATTTGGTAGACAACTGCTGAGGTTTCAATGGGCAGCAGTGTCTTTTGGTTGCATCGGACGGCGACGAATTGTTGTCTAGGGTCGATGGGCAACGTCTACTCTGGCGGGTTGTAATAGTCGTGAAACCGCCTCGGAGACGCCTTTACTGTAAGGAATAGTCCTCCAGACTTCGGGTTGTTCTTCAGATGGCCGTCGTCTGCTCACTCGGTACTTTGCTTAATTAAAATAGCTTTTTTATCCAGTGGTCTGGAAGAGGTCGTGAAGATATTGTCGTTCAGCCCTTTTGTCGGTTGGTATGCTGTAGTGTGTTTCAACCCCTTTGGGATTGAGTACGGACACTGCTGAGTTAGTGAGAGGGGATGATCGCTATTGAGGTATAATATTTGTCTTGTGTTGGTGGCTTTTTTGAAAACGGTAGTTTTCAGTTGCCCACTTGCACACCGGCGCACAACAGCCTCGTGGAAGGGGAGTTGGTCGTTAGTTTCGGCTTCCATTGCGGATTGGATATTCGGGTTAACCGAGTCCAGTAATTCTTTAAGGCGCTCCGCATCAGATGATTTGACGATCTCGAAGCTGTCACCGACGTAAAGAAGTCAGTACTTTGGTTGATACTTGGTGAACACCAAGTGTTTTACTCGTTGAAGGACCACTTCAGCAATCAGCCCGACATAGCGGAGTCCATGTGGGTACCTTTGATCTGTTCATACATTTGTTCACCAAAGGTGAAATATGCTTCTAGACAACAGCGTAAGAGCTCGATCAGATTTTTGGACTTCAGGGGATTGTCCTCTCATTGTCGCGGTCAGCCAGGAGTTGTCTCACAACTTCAGTCGCTAGTTTTGTGGAATGTAGTTGAAGAGTAAAACGACATCAGAGAATACCACGGATTCATCTGGCTCTAAGCTTAGATGCTTTAAACGTTCGTTTTACTTTCGATAAATTTCGTTTGACTGTATCCTTCTCATATTATTGTATTAGCCTGAAGATAATTTATCGAAAGCAAACGTGTGCTCGCCAGCTCGTCTTCTTCGGACTGAAACCAATTCTAGTAAGTAGTCAGCCCTACTTTAGTCGACTTCACAGCAGTCGCGGTTGTGTCAGAATGCGGTTTACGACAAAGGTACTGCTGCTGGGATTTACGCAGTACGACGAGATCTATCTAGTGTCCACTTGCCTCTGTGCAGTAGAATTAGCCTGAACCACCTAGTTCTTTCACAGTGTGACCGAGAAAGTATAATCGAAAAGAGTACATTCTCCAGAATTTCGACTTTATATTGTTGTCGAAGAGAATGTTGACAATCAGCCTGATTACCGAAAAATGGGTAAGATGCAGCAGCTTGCGAAATAAAAGCATAGTTGGCATGGAGATTTTTCGGAAAAATTGACCTTTTACATTCTTGCATTAATTAATCCTTTCTAGCCGCGCAGTTAACTGAAGCATTTTCTAGTTTGAAGGCTATTAATTTTAAATTGGTGTGGAGTCGGAAGCGATTTGTAACGTGTGAGTGCACTCATGATTAAGCAAAATTTAAGGAAACTGTATACAAAAGTATCCCACTTTACTGTCAGTAGACTGTGGATCGTGCCATACGGGATTCATGGTAAAGGGAATTTTAGGGATGGCACATCACGCAGGCAATAAGCTGACGAAATGGGAAAAACACGGAAACTGCCTGGATTGATGACGGAAATCTTATTCTACGCTATTGTACGACGACAGAAATGACAGTAGTAATCAAACAATAAACAAAAATTAAATTTCACAAAATAAAGGATTTTGAGTTAAGGTGTGAGTTTATGGGAAGTAATCGTTGTTGACAGTGTAATTTTTGCAACCGCCTGTAAATGTATGCCAAGATAAAATCCCATATGACACGATCCACAGTCCACTGACAGTTCAGTGGGGTCCTTCTCTATACCGTTGCCGATGAAAGCATTCAGGGACAGATAGAGAGGTGACGGAGTTACTGGAACCCATAAAGGGCTAAACTGTAGATATGCTAGGGCGCCAGAATGGATCATGGAAAGCGGTAATCGCGATGTGCAGAGTGTGTGCGAATCCATAACATGGGAGGGCGTGGAGGCACGCCTAGACAAAGGCCTTCACGCCACCGCGTCCAATTCCACCACCCGCTGGTTGGCAGGCTCGGACAGCCGACCGGTCCAGCAGAAGAGGAAAGAGAGTTATACATCCTCACGGTACATCACCGCATTCCTCATTAATGGTAAGTATGGCGCACCTGAATTAGACACGGCATGTTAAGAGTCGTGGCCCGGATGATTGCCAACTGAGGAGATAATTCGGTCCCTCGCAGGAATGAGAGTCAGGCTGCATCCCGTACCTCTGTCGGATCCCAGCCGCGCTCTGCACCAGTCTGGCCGGGCCGTGCGGGGCACGGTGTGAGGTCATGGGATGTAATCGTTGTTGACAGCGTACATTCCGTAACAGCCTGAAAATGCACGCCAAGGGTAAACCCCACGTGACAGGATCCACAGTCTACCAACAGGTAAATGGATTCCTTCTCAGTACCGTTGCCATACCACACCGAATCTGCTTACCGTGCATGTTGCGCGTCGATTGAACGCGCCTAATTCGCTTGTCTCTTTGTTTATTTCCAAGCCCTATGAGAATACGTAGCTAATGAAAAACGTTGATTGTTATGACCAATGACTTTTATTATTTCAACGCATTTCATTTGGGTCGTTTTCTTTTTTTCCTCATTGTGAAAGGACCAGGAAGAATACGTTCCAGAAATATACAAGGTAATATGAGGATTCGCGTTATACATATACATGTTTATGTTCCGAATTTCGTTACCTTTCCTGAAAAGCTTACTTCTTTCAAATATTGCTTCTTGTGATGCCCATTTTCAAATTTATGCATATATGTGTATACGTAGAACAAGATTGTCGACAAAGACGGAGATACCTGCGTGCCCATGTCTGGTTTATTAGCCGCCATCAGCCAGCTATACCCAACCCGAGGTTTTGTAGCTTCTGATGCCTGATCCCACAGTCTGGCGTTAGACTCCCGACGCCCTACACTGAGCCGCAGGTTCATTGTCCTACGGGTTGCGATTGGATATATACAATGCGGGGGGGCGCTCACGGTTCGCGTGACGAAACACACTCATCCTTCATTACGATTGGAGGCTCACTCTCAAACTCCGTCAATGGCCGCACAGCGGCTAGTAGTGTAGGCAGAAGAACATTGCCAACAAGGACAAGGGAGACTGGAGTGACCATTTATAGCTTATTAGACGTCATCAGCCAGCTGTAACTAACCCCAGGTATTGGGATCGTCTGTGGCATGAAACCCACGTGGTTTCCTGATAGTTGAACTCGAGAGACTAATCAAAGTGCTCATTTCAGAGAGCTCTAGGGAACCCACTGAGGAGCCGAACCCCTCGCAGCTGCGTCACGCAGCAGCAGAAACATCGGTGAAACACGTGTCTAGACTTTCAGTTATTACCTAAGTTGGGAGTACGGCACAACCACCTATCACATGAAATTACGCTTTTAATGATAACACTTGTTGATGGGCTGGCATCACGTGGTTGTTCCACAGTATCCGATTGTCTTGGAGTCAGGTGTTCATTGAAATTTCGGGTCTGACCCTGAAGTCATGTCCCGGACACTTAACTCGAAATTATAAATATGTACATTCAATCAGGAAAAGACACACTGATCTATTGGCTTCCCGAAGCAAACAGTCTCCATATGGGACGGGGAGAGTTCACGAACAGCCAGCCAACTGCCAGTCCGAAGTCAGTCAATTTACAATAGCAGAGAAGAGGGCCGACCAAAAATGTGGAAGGATTAATACAGTACTGTTTCGGGCTTATTCTGCCTTCATTCAGCCAGTCATTGCCCTGAAAATCGGGTGTGATCAGAAACACAACTATCTTTTCGTACACATCGTCCAGAGAAGTGGTACCTTCTCATCTGTCAATTGATATTCATGTAATTAGTGATAGGTACACACCGATCTACTAGCTTACCGAAGCAAACAAGCTTCGTATGGGCGGAAAATGTCACGACCGAATTTGGATAAGTTAAAATAACGGAAAGGAGGGACGACAGAGAATGCGTGAACGGAAAGTATCGATCTGCCGGTTTATATAATGTTTCTTTATGTATGACTATTCATTCATAATATGGGCTTATTATTTTTGACCTCTAGAACTGAGTACAAATGTACATGCTGAAACATTTTATCGCTACCCTTACCGCTCGCCCGTGGCGCGGCTACCCACGTCGCAAGGACGAACGAATAATGATCCGTATGAGAGTGATTTGCAAGAACAGACAGAGTGGCGTGACGGCTACTCTACTGGGTGTCGTACAGCCCAGATGCTTTAAATATTCCAGTATATTATCCACACTCAAAGAGAGAAGCAAACTCACCGCCCGGTTTTTCCTGCAGAAAGACAGTGATTACTGTTCTAATAGGTTGTCAGTTGGCTGAGCGACTGTCATTTTTTCCTTAAAATGCTATGAATATTGCTCCGGAAAGTGACTGTCTACCCACCTTAACTCCTTTAAAGATGAGAATGACAAAACTCCTTAACGACCTTCGCGAAGAACATCCGGAACTGGTTCCACAGCAAAGTACGTTTTGCCAAGCAGTTTCATGAGTGGTAGCGTGATGTTTTCGCCCATCAACTTTTTTTTCCTTCTGACATCTTTCGTCAGTGAAAGCTTTTAGTCTGCGCATTTACATGTCAGTTCAAGCACCAAAATGTATTTTTCTAAAGGGCAGGCACAATTGCGTAATTAATTCCTGCCATTGCTGTAAGCATCTTGATTTTGAACTGTCGTTGCGGCCTATATGGTTTAATAGATGGTGTGAAAATAGTTACCCTGACCTACTTAGAACTGGAACTGAAAGCGTCATGCATGCTTTCCTGCAAACCATGAATGACAAAAAAACGAAAATCACTTTTCTTTTCTAAGAGTAAGGAATGGCTAATAGGAGCGAAGAGGCGAGCTCCAGGAAGTAGTCGCGAAGAAGGAGACACGGTCGCTGGAACAAGAGCTTTATCGGACTGGCATTTCGGGTTCTCAATCGAATTCATCTTCAGAGGCAGATGGATTCGAGCTATCGTGTCTCCGTCTTCTCAAAGACGCGCGTGGTCGAAGAAGTTTGTTAGTAATTCCTGCAAAACCATTGTATTGGAAAATATAAAAGGCTACTGCGTTCTTTTGCCTCTTCACATAAATTTGAAAATTACCAAACGCGACACTGCAAGTCTGCAAGTAGTAGGTGGACTCAGATGGCTGTTTGCGATAGATGAGAGACGTAAACATCGTTGTGATTAAACGGTCACCAATCGTTGACTTATTACCATTCAGAAGTTGCCAAATGAACGTTTAAATTGACCAGGTTTGGTCCTCAGTCCGCATGATTCCGAATTAAATATCTGTGAATTTGTTACTTCATAAAATGCGCTTTGCCGTTTCAGCGCAAGTATTTCTAACATTCCGCCCTCCGTTTCAGCCGACTTGGGCTATTTTGCTGAGGTCAGTACGCTTGAGGGACTCATATCGGTCCCCGAGTACATGGAGAGGTTTGAAAAGCCCAGCGATGGAATGCTTGTGCGAGGTGAGATATTGTTAGTTTATCCTCCTTGAGCAAATGTCGCCTCCTATGAACTCTAAATAAGCTCGCAGTTAAGCGCAGTCGCGTTGGGACTGACGTCCCGACTGTAACAAGCGCGGCGACAGTTGTGTGTGCTAGCAAATTTACAGACATGAGACCACGCAACAGTAGGCCATTTTCAGATATCCGAGTCTGCTATTTCCTGCAAACAATGACCAATAACTAAGATTGGTCCACCCACAAGGACAGAGAAAACTAAATTATCGTTTCTGTTTCATTTGCGCTCATCGTTTAGCCAGGAAGGCCTAAAAGGCCGGTTAGCAGCCTGGTAGTCACTGAAGATAACGCTTTACTAATTGATCCATGGATTGTCATGTCGTCAGCTGCGATTGGATACATCCAAATCTAAACCACTCTGAAATGCCCTTCTTCAACTTTTCTGTCCTCATGGGTAATCTTTCTCAATTACTGACTGCCGGACACTGTGCAATCGCCAGCGAGGACTTTTAAGCAGACCTCCCAAGCAAAGCGAGAGACTCGTGTTCCATTCTTTAATGGGTCGATTTTGATAAACACCGTCTCATACCGCTCCGGATACTCGCGGTTGCAGCTAACTAACCAGGGTCAACTGTCTCATTTGCACTGAACTGAATTTTAAATCAAATGAGCGCGGGATCCAATCATATTTTTTAACTTGGGTTGAGGTTACATCTCTCCTGTTGATTGTGATGAATAGGCTGTAAATGGAAGTGTTCCTTTGCCTTGTGAGTATGGTTCGCCAGTGATTCCAGCTCTGGCGGTACCTGTACTTCGATATTTAGCGGCTAACACTCCTTTTAAAACCTCTGTGGAGTGCTAGTTCTTGTCTGGATTATGGTTGCTTAGTGCCTCTCCTGTTTCGCAGTAAAAATGCTTGTCCTTTTTTCTGTGCTTATTTTAGAGGCAACTTGGCCAATCCCCAAAAATCTCTTCATGTACCATTAGGCGAAGTCCAAGAGGCAGCCACATGACGTTTTGCAGTGACAGTATTGAAAAGTTGATTGCAATATGTCTGTCTTGTTGTTTTTGTGTAGAACCCCAGACCGGTGGTCGGATATGCCTTTATTGGAACTTACACTGGTCTTGGCGGATGTGGGAATAGACAGTCCTTAGAAAATCCCAGTATCGCCAGAAAGTTTTAATAGGGCTGTGAAACTCGTTACAAAGTGAAGACTATTCGGTTCCAGATTGGGTCTCGTTTTTCGCTTAACGCTAACGGGGCGCTTCAAGCTAACGTTACCTGCGATAAAAGGAAAGTTTAGACTTTCGAAACTCTAGGGTCTGAACCTACAGTCTATGTTTTTCCCGCCACCTTGAGTCCGAACCTGCTCCTCTCGACTCTATCAGTCCTGGACAGAACCAGCCAAAGCGATGTGCGAGGGAATTTGATAGAAAATGCGTTCTTTGCAGAGCATGGATTCGGAAGGGAACTTCTCTACCCACCGCCCTTCGAAGTGCGACCTCATAGTTTCTTGATGTCTTGCTGTGGCCTTCCAAGCCTTATCTGAGGGTTTCGGAAAGTACTCGAGAAGGAGGGCACAAAATTGCCGATTTATGGTTCAGATTAATTTGCAGGTTCAACTTTACGCTTGGCCCAACTTGCACAGTCATGAGTAGACAGATGTGATGGACGCAGAAGGCGTGCATAGTAGTTGTAGGGAGCTCGTTGCCCAAACGCGCGCCTAGAATAAATTATAGCTCCCGCTCTGGTTGCACATGGTGTCATATGTGTTTGCTCTAATGAGTAGCATTCCTCACCTGACGATTGGTCAAGTAATGCTACTATTGTCCGGGTTCTTCTCATGAGCAGTCGACTTCTACCTCGGTGACTCATCGACTTAAAGATGCTACCACTGCGCGTACAGCGAATACTTGTTCTCTTGACCTGGGATTAGGCGTATTTCCTAGACTGTTGTCGCTGAAGGCCGTCCCGCAGTCCAGCACTCACAGAAGCGCGTTTTTTGGAATTACTATCCCTTCGCCCTAAAAGCTTCAAATACTTGACACAGTAACTGCAGTTACCGTACCATGGTTTAAATGACTGAGTAAGGGGTTTTGTTCCCGCAAAAGTACCGTCATGATAATTAGGAGAAGCGCGACATGACAGGCATGTCTTGACGCAGTCCTCACTTGTGAGAGGAACTATCTACAATGCTCAAGAAGCACTCAGGCGGTCCAGGAAAAGACTTCAACAAACAAAACTACTGATTATGAAGTGGCAGATTGTAGGTCTTCTCATACCGTGCCCCATAGGAAAGTGAACGCATCACGGAAGCTACAGCAACAGCGGGGAGAATGAGAGTTTCTACTGGGGACACAAGTTTTCAAAGGACGTGTCCAGGAAAAGAACCTGCGATCGCATACGCAAATGAGAATACTTCCACTGTTCAGACGCTCCATAGGTGAAGTCCTCGGTGTCAAACCTCATGCCTGTCTACGCCGTGCAGATCAGGTAATAGGTGCGATAGTGGCCACGAACACGCGACCACCTGTCAGGCCACAGGGGAACTCAAAAAACCAAATTGGCTTTTATTTATGGAGGGGTGGCATACTTTCTATATAATTTAATTGCAAACTGGAGATAGGGAAAGGTGTTTTTCCAGGAATAATCCTTGTCTTCACTTTTAAATACTTCGTAGAGGTTTAATCATGTGTTTCGCCGTTAACTTGTGATATTAAACCCAATACCAAACCTGGAGAAGCAGAAGGTTCTCCCTGCAACTTTCGGGCACGAGTCTTAGTGAAAATATCATTACCAGTTGGCACGATGGAAGAGTAGCATACAGTCACTTTGGAATTTTTTGGTCAGAATCTTCGAGCGACATATGGAGCCGTCCATTATCGGCGGATGACGGGACAGCCTTGTAATCCACTTGTTTAGCCTTCATGGCCTGTAGATGTGCTGGACCGAAATATGGGCCAGATTAACTCACTACACTTGTTTGTCAGGCTGCAAGAGGTCTTTTCAAGCCTAAAACTGCTGTCGTGCATGCGTGTTACGGCATTCATTATACGTTGGTCTTCACGCCGTGTCAGTAATTGTGTGCAATTCCAGTTCCAACTGATTGTCAGTCCAGTTTTATCAAAGGAAATATGGGCTAGCGCCTTTGAACTCCCTACTAGATACAAGCCGCTGGAGAAAAACATTGATGAGTGGAAGATGTAAAAAGGACAGTGACCGGTAATCGAAGAAGAGTAAGCATTAACGGTTACTTTCTAATCAAGTAGTATAAACACGTATAAGTTAGCGCGGGTTATGTGAGTGGATGTGAGGCTGGTAATTGGGAAGCTTGATACGCGTCAAGTCTAAATTTAAAGGAATTCACATATGAAGAGATTTCAACATCGGAAGGCAGAGCGTTCGACGCTGCAACCACTCTGTTACTGAAAAAGAACTTTCGTCCATTGATTCCTGCTTTCCCTGCACATAGTTTTAAGAAATGACCGCGTAAATTGGGCGTGTTAGCCTGGACGAAGTAATCAGTGAGATCTAAACAACAGTCTAAGCCGTTGACTATGCGAAGTATTGGTATAAGGTCACCAAGTAGTTACCTGTAGGTAGGAAGGAACAGGTTGAGAGTTGACAGTCTGTCATACTCGGAAATCCGACTCCTGCATGGAGAAGGAAGACAAAATGAGGTTGGCACTAGAATATCCATCCTCACGGCGATCGATTCGTCGTTATAATAAATTCAACGCGCTTGAACTCATGACTTCGCGACAAAAGTCGTGACTTTCGAGGTTCCCAACCGACAGAATGACTAAGTCCCTCTCATGATCGAGAGTCGGGCTGCAATGACCCCTTACCAATGTGGCCGCCAGGACATTCTCACTGATGTGTGGTCCGAGTAGCCCTTATTGCAGTTTGGTACATAGTTCGGGGGCGGGTTGTGTGTGGCACGCGTAGACGGTCTGCTCATACCTGTTGGCGCTGTGTTCGCGCTCACCTCCTGTCGTCTTGATATTGTTTTGCCATCGGAGGAAGGTGGTAAGAGAAGACTGTAATAAGTGCTGCTTAATTCTGCCTCATTAGTAGACTAATTCACGCACAAGTCACCGGATTTGCGTTAACTCCGTCGGACGTACGGTGGACACCGTTGTTTGCGACGGTCAAGTTGTCTATTATTCCTTATCTCCAACGTTTATGACCGTGGAGAGACACCTCACGGGCAGACAGCATCTCCGCCGGAAGGCCAACATGTCGGCCGTCTTTGGAGTTAACATCCAGTTAAAAAGATTTGATTGTATGAATTTAAAGGAAAATGTTCAGCTGAACCAGTAAACCATGTAATACCTACCCCTTACTTCCAGGCGTATCCTTTTCAACGTCCAGAATTTGAGTTATTAGGAGTGAAACGGAAAATAACGACTTCATACTTTCTGGGACAAGGTGTATAAGTTATTTCAATTTGAATGCTGATATTTTGGGTGGCAACCTAAGTTCTAGTGGAAAATTATTCCAATCAAAAGCATATTTGGATTCAAAAGGCGAGCATTTAAACGTAGAGCGAAGAGGTGGCGGAACCACCATGTCGGATTTACGTGTGACACAGTGCCTTACTATTGGAGTGAAAACGCCACGACGAGGAAGACTGGGGCTAGAGTTAATTCAAAAAGGGATGCAAAGGCCAGCCTAGAGTCTTCTAGCCCATAAACAACTTCGCCGAATGAAATTTCTCAGTATAAGAACTAGGAGAGCCAGCTCGAGAGAAGAGTCTTTAAGTAAAAACTCTCTGTAGATCCCCGATGTTACTGCCGTCACAATCATTCATAATACCAGAAAGGACAGTAATATTCAAAGATGGGAAGAACAAACAGGTGTCAACAGGTGATTTTGTAGCACGTTTGAAATTTTAATTGTTTTTTGCACATTTACTCTAGTCTGACGATGACATGGGGAACCGACGTCGAAAATTTACTCAATAAAGTTTTATCTCTTTCCCAAGGAACGTATTTGATTTGAAATTATATTTATTGGGATGCCTGCGTTCGAATTCGCAGGTGTCAACTTTATAGTTCCACATCGACAAGGAGATATTATGTAATGTGCACCGACATATCTGCGCAGTCTTTGCAGAAATTCGACCAGCATAAGCTGATAGATCAAGCTTAGTTGCATAACTTAGGCCTAGGTCCTTCATAGTGGAGCATTCTGAGAGTGGGTTATTTTGAAAAATAATGAGGAGAGGAAGTTAGGCGGGGATAAACTGCGCGAAACTACACATGGACGAAGACAACTCAATCTGTCATGTTGAACTCCATTTTCACAAACATGGTGCATTGGAGTTAATTCTTCAAAAGCAAACATTTGCTTTGTCCCTGGAATGAGGATAGCCATACTTAAGGTCATCAGCACGAATGGAAGTTTACAAATTGATGTGAAGAACGAACAGTATCGAACCCAGAACCGGGTCTTGAATTACACTATTCATGTTCGAGTGAGACCTTTATTGTCAATAACCAACCATGAGTTCCTTGCGCAAAAACAGATAAATTAGTTATTTTCAGCCGGCTTTTTCATTCTTATTCCGCCAAATTTTGCATCAGTATTACCAATCCCGGCGTTTTAGATGTCACCACATTTATTGTCGTTGAAGAGGAAAGACTAATTCTTGTTTCTTGTGGACTGCTATGCCGTTTAATTTCGCCTTCGAATGTAGAACCATTTCAAGATTGTGAAAGAAATTACATAATTTCTATCCCATATGGACGGTCGTTAGACAGCATTTACGATTTTCAGCCAGTGAAATCGTTTTCCCAATTTGATTCCCTGAGGACCTGCCTGTGTAAAATGGTCTGCAAATCAAAGGTGTTCAAGTCAAACGACTTGGAATACGGAATTTACTTGACAACTTTTATCGCGGTGTGTGGCCGTACATGAATTTAGGACTTGGCTGACGTGTCTTCAACGCAAGAACAGACGTAGACTTTTCTTCGGGAACATGTGGACTTGTAGCATTAAATCCCGTCTTTAATAAGAGCACGCTACATCTTGATTCTAATACTCTATTCCTATTCAATCTCCCACGTACAAGCAATCATAAGGAACGCAACTCGTCTAATAATTCCTTTATCCAAATAGTTTTACCTATAATGGTGAAATGTGATTTTCGTTGAACTCTGCGGACATACTAATCTTCACACTTTATGACTTTGGAGATGGCAAAACGGGCTATTTTTACTGTTTGTGTCATTAAATTGGCGCATCTTATGACCAACTGACTTATTTGAAGCATCATGAGACTCCCAACACCATGGTCATTTCGAGATCCTATTATCTCTTTTTTTATCCATACACTCCGTTATCGCCAGTTCTATTCTGTTGACGCACGTACTGTTTACATAATATTGCCTATGAACGCTGACACTATGCAAAATTATCCTTCGCTTTAATTCGCCTTTTTGCACTCAGAGCAGCCCCACAAGTTCTACAAATTGGATTCTTTATGGTCATCTCCCGTAATAAAAGTATTTGTGAAGTTTAGCCTGCTTTGTCTTGTCAGGATGAGAACACTGTCACCTCTGCTTGCTGTCGTCCAGTTAATGGACTCTTAGTGGCAAACAAATGTTTTCAGTTCACTGACTTGTCAAATTTGATACATTTATCCTATAGAAGAAATGGAGCATGCGTTGCTTCGTCACTCGTATGCTTAATAATCCCTGTCCTTGCCGCAGTTGATAGCCTGGCTGTTTTATTCTTTTAAACAACATTAATGTTTATGCTGACCAAAATCATAACCCCGTGTCATCAGGTTCTTCGTTCTTTGCGAAATCCATGCTGTACATTTATACCGATAATACCTGTAAATTGGAATCAAATATACTGGTTATTATTACTGTTCTGCCACTCCTGTCAGCTTAGTCAACCCAAAGAAATACCAAATGATAAAAATAGCTGCCGGAAGTGACCTTCGTTCATGTTACCCGATTCTGCCACCTCAAAAAATGAAGTTCCCAGATAGCACGCATTTGGGTACTTTAACTACAACCAAAATACTGTCCATCTCTATACCCATGAAGACTTGTAAATTAAAAGCACATTTGATAGAGCTTCAAGACTGGTTAATTAAGCTGATTCGAGTATTCGTATAGTAGGCTTAGAGGAAAGACTGGATAGGCAGAGAAGGCACAAAATGATGTCGAGTGACAAACACACTGACATTGTAGTGCCAAATTATGTAGTTTCGCATGGAGCGGAATATCCTAGTCCATTGTCCAAATCTACGGAGGTCACAAGTGAATGTGCGTTTTCGACTGATGGGCTTTTCCGACTGTTTACTTTTTCCAACTAGCAAGTAACTTTCAGGCGCGTCATAGATACGCACAAATATTATTATATAAACGCTTTTATCCTTTTTGGATTCAAGACGGCCGACAGTGGGATGGATCAGAACAGCGTTTGGGAATATCTATCTCACGAGTCTGCGTCTGTTTTCGGTCAACCTATTTTGCGCATTTCAATTTCTTAATGCCAAACCTACGAAAGTAAATCTGTTTGTTTTCTGCTACCTCTTATACGGTATGCGCATTTTCGTCAATTCAACACATGTAAGCAGTCTCGTCCACTTTATACTGTCCTCTGTCTTCCAGCGTTTCCCGCATCATTAGTCAACCTCTGCGTCCTATATGTTTTAATTTCGGTTTAGAGTTTTTGTCTTTCTTCACGCAGTTTTAGAGCTAACGCTCTTTAAGCATCATTTTGGTTGCCGTGGATTGTCCGTCCGTCTTCTATTCGTTCCTCACTACCCACTGTTACAGTAGGGTTTAACAGGCCATCATTTAGCTTTTGAGATACATGCGCAGAGATTTCAAAAGAAAAATATGCGATGACTAGTAGTCTTGGATCCCAAACGAAATCCACAGTTTAACTTTTATTTGGCAGACCTCGTCAGCAAAATATCATTGCGTTACTTATGTGGTTAGAAGGTGTCGCACCGGGTCTGTCATGGGGCGTCCTTTACGCCAGCCTCTCCCAGCTCCGAACCAAAAAACATTTGTTCGGGATTTTGTTGCCTTCACCAAAATTTACCTGGCCGCAGACTGCATTCTCCGTTGATTGACTATTATCAATTTCCATTAAAATGTATGCGATGTAGTGTTTTATCCTCTATGGCACACACCACCACCTCCCACCCCAGAGGGGAGAAAAAGTCTAAGTGATACTTACGGTTCTTATGACGGATACTTGCAATTTAACTAACGAATAAAAACAACGCTCTTGCCTTATTCACCCACAGCTGCAGTAAGCACTGGGACGCACACGTACGCTCGCCTAATGACATACCGAATCCTTCTACGAGAATTTTCGCACCTCTAATCATAATCTATGCCATCCAGACACTTGCCCTATAATATGGAACATTATGATAACACTAACGGTCGGGGCCTCGTAATTCGGATGGTTAAAACGTTGGCTACACCAAAGTATGATCCATGATCACGAGGGTTCGAATCCTAAATAAGCTGCTGACGTATTTACAACTGGGTCTGATACAATAGTTAGAAAATGTAGAGCGAATGCAAAGCTTAAAGTTGTACGGTGGATTCCTGAAGCAGAACATCAAGAGTTTAGTCCTGACCGACGCTGCCATGTCATTTCAAACGAAGTCATTTTCCACAGCATTTTTGCCGCTGCGATATGATCTTGTGTTAACTATTCTGCCGTATAAATATATCCTTAGATTTTTGTCTAGAATTTTACGATTCAGGTTGGTTTGACAGTCTTGCACGTTCCGTTTTAAAAGTAACAGAACATTCTGTAGAACGCACCCAAACACAGGACGAAGGTTGTGCATTTGGTTTGTTATTGTTTAAATGAGTAAAGGTCAGAAGTTCATTTTAATTATCTGAATGTGGCATCAGTGACTGCGGGCCTCGGCGCGTCTTTGCTGCTATCGTAAGGAGACCCTCGTTTTAACTGCTTTAAGAGACGTCATAAAAACCCATTAATCACTGGTTTGTCGCTAACTGCTTCATACTTAATTCTGTGCGAACTTTAGATACTTAAAATATAGCAAATTTTTGACATCTGCCCTAGCTAGGGCTACTAGTAGCTATTCTATAACGAGGCGTCAGCGCTTCGCCGTCAAGGAGTCGCGATAGGTTTCACCGATTCATAGCGGATTTCGTCCATCTGGCCGTATGCATGTACATAGAAACATGGAAAACGCCCTCATTTAAATTTCTCTTGGGGCACTACATAGCAAAGCGAACTCGTTGCAAACCCGTAACGAGGGCGCAAATCAGCGGTCCCGAGCTGGTTTTGTGTTCCGGTTAGTCCAGGCAATCAAGGTCGATGCGCCCTCGTAACGAGCTCGTAATTTGGTGACAGCGGACTCGTTCCGTGGTCATATACTCTATAGCGAGCTCGAAAACGCGAGATTCTCAGTTTCAATTTAACTGGGGTTTTTATCGTCCTGATATGCGCCCCACTGTAGCGTCCGTCCGTAGATTGGACGGGAAGTACGGGAAAGAGCGTTTGCAGACGCTAAAAGGCATATGTCGCAAAGGAAGGGTTTGCTGTCCAGCATCTGCATGGCGTCGTTTGGCGGCTCTGTTTCCGTGGCGACCAAATGGACAAGATCTGATTAATTGGTCATATCTTACGCGAATTTTCACAGCGAGTCACTGCCGCCTCGCTATGGAATTGCTACTGGAATGCTACTGTAGTAGCATCATCTAGTGACTAGATGTACTCCTATTGCGACTTCTCACGATAGTAGTATTTATGGGTAAAGCCATACAGGGTCCGAAAACTTTCCAGGCTCTTTTCGACTAGCGCCTCGCTGCTGACTTAAAACGTGTCAAGCGTCTGTGTCATGATATCTGCTTCCAGTGGATGAGCCATTTAACCTAAAGATATTTGCTTTTTGCCGGAATGAAGTACGGTATTTAGTTCTAATATGCCTGATAACATTTGCGAATAAAATTTGAAACACAAGAACTAAAACAGCAGGTAATTGACGATGAGGCTGGACAGCAAGGCGTGGAAGAATCAGATGTTATTGACATTGCAGTAGGCTAGATTTTTACGGCGCCCGGCACCTTCTTACTTTAGACCTATGCGTTCAAGCGGTCTTTTTTATGATACAGGACTGTCGGTTACATATAGTAGACAATTTCAGGTTTGGCAAACTTTGAGGTAGAAAATACCGATTTCCCGTTGCTTTCGAAGGAACGTTCTGTCTATCTCAGGGGAAGTTGGTAACTGTTCACAGTAGGCATGCAATTTAGGCCTTCCTTGGATTGCTCCAAATAGTGGATTGTTCGACCTTCTGCATGTCACTTTCTAATGATCTCCATGAATAACTGTTCCTTATTTGACTAAGTTGTGTTACATAGAATCATTTACCGCACTTGAGTTTTACCCAGAAGTTCTCACATGCACATACTTGCTGTCCATTGCTTTTGTTCGTGTAGACCTCGGGACACGTTTGATTTGTCGGCGCAATCACTATAGTAAATTAGGGTGGGTAACATTTAGTACACATAAGGGGTATGGGTATTCCGCTTTCCAACGTGGTATAGTATAACCTTCTGTACGGAGAAATAGGTGAGGGCAAATACCAGTAACGTACAAGTGGAGCTAATATCACGGAGAGGGTGGGGTCCCCTGCGCGTTTTTTTCGAGGACGAGGCTATCGCGTCCACAGCCCCGTCATAGGCTCGCCCATACGTGGCCCAGCCCCCTCTGACCCCGGGGGTTTGACGGGGCTGGTGCTAGCAGGCATAATTCCTGCCCTCCACTTCCCTGATTACTTTCATCTCCAACTTGCCGCACACCACTAGCCTTTGCCATTCAATAAATAGGCCTTGCTCCAAGTAATTTTATTTCTGCACTTCCTGTCCATGGCATCAATTAGCCGCCATGTCCATTTTTAAGCCGCTTATTCACAGCCTCGTCCGAAACTCCCGTTGTATTTTATCAAGCGCCATGTTCCTGCTTGGTTAGTAGTTGTGTGTTGGGCTCTTCCTGATAAATAACCATCCGACTTGCGGAATTCTCGCATTTTACTGTCCGACGTCACAAATTTTAATTTTTTCTCCGTTTATAGATGAAATCCTGGCTTGCCTGGTTTGGCCTTTTACTTTTCGGTACATTTGTGTGCCCTATCTCGTTTGACACCGTAAGTCCCTACCATTTAAACCGCTGGCGGATTTCGCATTTTCTTTCACAAGAAAATATGGGGCTGTATGCCTCCTTCCGCTCTCCCTCCTCCTCCTCCTCCTCCTCCTCCTCCTCCTCCTTCTTTTCCTCCAATTTTCTCTCAGATATATTTTCGCCTACAACGCAATATAAAGCCGCCAGTTGATTTCAGGATAATCGAGCATTAAAGCATTTCGTGGAAAACGAGTTGCTAATCCCGCGGAAGCATGTTTCATGAATTTAGTGGGACAAAAGCAAAAATATACATGTCTCCCAGGACACTACTAATTTTTGCTCTACGAACGAATTAAACAAAGAGACGGATTTGAAATATTCCCTCTTAGCTTGCATTAGTTAATTTAACACTTCAGATCTTTCTGTAGTTGTAAGTGCACAAGTATAATAAGTCCATGTTGACTTACCGTCCATATCAGCTTCATCCCATCGTGATTTGAACTTTTTCGGGAGTTCATGCTGTTTCCTTTTAGCGGTTCATTGTTTGTTTTCTTACCACCATTCTTAACGAACTCATAGCCACAACAATCGAGGCTCTTTTACGACTTTAATGCACTGAACATCGACGGCAAATTAATATCGATGGAGCAGTACAGGTAGTCTCATCCTCTAATTTGTCACTCAGCCTTCCGAAGGGGCCATGTTGTATTGGTTGTCAACGTGGCAAGTGAATGAGGTCTAACGGACCGCAATTATCGTCAGCTACAGGAACTGTATACCACCTACGCTGACCAGGGCCTTCGCATACTCGCCTTCCCGTGCAATCAATTTGGTGGTCAAGTAAGTAAAGCGACCTTATTACGAATTTCCACTTTATTAACAGGAGCCAGGTACTAATGATGAGATCAAACAATTTGTGGTCACCAACTACCAAGTCAGCTTCGACTTCTTTGATAAGGTTGACGTGAATGGACCCGATGCACATCCCATTTTTGCCTACCTCCAAGAGTCCCTCCCGGGTTTAATCACAAAGTGCGTTTTTATTTTTATTGCGCTTTTGTCTTTCGCCTCGTATTCTTTCTTGTAAAATGTACACACTTTGTTCCTAAAATGCATCTACAACTTTTCAAGCTGTTAGGCGTAAAAGACAAATGAGACTCTCCGGTCCCTTCTCGTTGTCCCAACTTTAACGATGTTGGGGTATTTTGCTTAAATAAGTCGATAAATATCTGAAAAGCGTTTTCGCTCTCAAGAGTAGCAGTTTCAGACGGTTCTTACGAATATGTTTTTTGTACTACCTTGAAGAATCTCCATCTGTTGTAGGTATCCCAGCTTAGTTGCTAGTGCATGTATGTCGTGTCCAGAGATATGCATTTATTGTGATCGTGGACCTACTCGGGGTATTTACTTTGATGGGATAATAACTGGACAGACAACTTGCAGTCGCTCCTTAAGGCCTACAGGTTCTATAACTGTCACCTGTTCTGTTGCTGCTACTACCTTTAACTCCACGGCAAAGCGGAAATACTACTTTCCGTTCTGCAATCAGGATGGACCAGTGCACGGCAGACAAATTTGTTATTACAAACCGCTACGGCAACCCAGGCCGCATTACGCCTGCTACAAGTCATCTCGGCCTACACTTAGGTCTAACGCGATTTTAAAACTGTCCGGGGTCGAAGAATCTCGGAAGTTTACAAAACTATAAAACCCATTCAGACAGTGCATGGAGATTTACAGTTTTTGGTAAATTTGATTTCACGCTCATCAATTGACCCGGTAAATACAAGTGTATGCAAAGTGCCGAATTAAACAACGGAGCATACATCAACGGCGGCGACATCCATTAGTAGGTGAGACAGTGTTTGCACCCCGGCGAGGAGGTCCCGTTTTGTCTGGAGTGGGAACGCGGCAATGGTCAGTAGAGTTCAGTTTAAACATCGGCGAATTTGAGCGACTGACAGAGTTCGACCGAGATCGACACGAGCCAGTTGGAGGTGCCTTTGGGGTGGCGTTGGCATGATTGTTGCCGCTCTCGCTGTTCGGTGAGTAGCGCAGGACTTCAAGATCTGAGACAAAATCCAGGACAGTTTTTTGGTGCTGATGCAGAATGTCCAGGGAGAGACAGCGAACCCGTTCAATGCCGTCCAGGAAGACTTTCTTTCTCTGACCAAGACCCTTATTTGGGGAAAAATTAGCAGAAACACAGTGAGCAGAATAAAATGAACTAGTTTCTTGAGTGGATCAGGCATTGAAGGCTTAACTGCAAGCAAAAATAACAAGTTTGGGCGAACGCTGATCATATTTGACTACCACCCAGGGTGCATGCTTGCAAGCGCTGTTTTTTCGAGTACAGTTAAGAAACTGCGAACAGAGAACAGGCTGACTTTCATGCTTCGACAAAGAAAGCATGAGTGCACAAGCGGCAAAGGTATGGACCCAATGACTACAAGGGTCACAATGGTGTTAGATCATACCAACTTCCGAAGGAGCAATCTAGAGTAGTGTATCGTGTTCCGTGCCAAAAATGCCTTTGTAACTACACAAGCCAGACTGGCCGCATGCTTGGATCGAGCATACACGAACATAATCTGGTTGTGCGACGAGGCGACGCGTTATCACAAGCGGCCGCCTGCACCTACGAAACAAGCCATGAGTTTAAACTCGCAGCCGCCAAAATGGTCGCCCACGCAGGAAACAAAACAGGCCGAGAATTGGTTGAAGCCTGGGTCTCGGATAAGAACTTGATCAATCGGTTTATCGATGTAGCGCCGGCGTACAGAGCCCAGCGCAGTGACCTCGAGTCTTGCGCTATATATCGATGATTGGCAAACATGTCCTATAACTGTCGCTTGTTCTGTTACTGTTATTATTTCTGACGATGGACTCCTGCAAGAGTTCGAAAGCTCAGAACAATAAACAAAACGTTCCGTTGCTCGGCCACCCTTCTTCTTCACTTAGAAATAAGAATAAAAGGCAAAGTAACTGCAAAAGCCCGGTTGGTCACGAAGTAGAACCAGGCAGGGTACCTCTAGTGTCCTCGTCTGGGTGGAAGACCGCGGGGAAAGAATTGGTTAAATAGCTGCTATAGGGGACTAACCCGGATTAGATCCTGTAACTTTGAAAAATTTGCGCAACCGTTGAGAGAAGACAGGTCGGCGGAGTAACTGCATTTGGGTCTTAGACAGGAGTCGCGCTTGGGAGCGACCTCGATGTTGCCCACAGATGTAGTCGCTGTGGACCGATCTGTTCGAGGACAGCCGGGGACTCCGGACTCCGTCGACCTATTTAAGTTGTTGTTTGAGGCGGTGGTGTTGGGGTCGGCGGTAGCACGCAGAGAGCGATTGATGGCTAACGTCGAGACGGGTTGTATGAAGGCCTCGTATAGCGCGTTAACACGCTCCAACCCCTGGAACTCGGATATCTTCTGCAAGGGTGTAATAGAGTTCGCTGGTTAATCACGGTGCTCGGCTCCTCTTTTTCTTCTTCTTCACTTATGTATACGCCTGGGATTTTAAATTTCGCCTTCATTCGTGAGATTATGACTAGAAAGACAGCTCGCCGTCGCTCCCTAAGTACTTACTGCATTCTGTCAGCAGTCCCAACCGTATAACTTAAGGACGGAAGGAAACTGGTATTTCTGAAGGAGTCCAGACCGACGCACTCCAATGTTGTCCAGTTGGTGACATTGAACTACATTTTACTTATTGTATCCTCATACTGAAGTGGGTGATAGATCACGGTTACCTCTAGATCTAATGTCACAATGCCACTTAAAGCGGGCAGTGTTGGCCCGACATATTGTGCGCCAATTTGACGGCTTTATTTCTTTTATTCGGAGTTTTAAATTATGGCATGTAGCTCATAGTGTGTAAGTGCATGAACTGGGTCTTAATTTATGGATCAGATTTAACGTTGGTCTTTTTGAAGGTTAAAGAAGGAAAATTATTTGACAGACTGACTAAAACCAGGAAACCAGTCAAGTGTGTCAGCGATGACTACTCCTCTGTCCTTTTTTCTCACTCACCTTCCTCGTATTCACGTCACGTTTTAGTTCGATCAAGTGGAACTTCAGCAAGTTTCTCATAGATCGCCATGGACGTCCCCATTCACGATATTCGCCCACTACGGATCCCAAGGCAAGTCTATATTAACGCTGCCTGGTTATCCTAAATTAGAGAACCATCCGCTTCTCGCAAGTCCCTCGGTATCGACCTATATGCCCCAACAAACTACAAAACAATGAATGCTACATTTCTATGCTTGTTTCCTGTTAGTACTTTCCTATCCGTAGCGATTTTACGCGGAAGTCATAGTCACTTAAGATTGTTGAGTTGTTCTGTTCTTAGCCAGTCTATACAAAGGACACATTTCTTGGGCTATTCCCATGGAAGATGCGGCTTTTTTGAGACTTATTTTGTCAAAGGATTAAATATTTTGGCCCAGACAATCATATTCATGCAGGAATTTTCTGGAGATTTTCGCCCATGATCGGCAAGTTTTTCAGACCTCAGCTCATAAAGCAACAAATAAATAAATAAACAATGATAAAAATAATATATATGTACTCCCAAGCAAATGGTGCTTCGGATTACGGCAGATCAGTCATTAACCTTCTGTCAATTCTTTATGAGGAAAAACGTAACTGGCAATGCAGACGTTTTTTTACTGTCTCTGTCGGGATGACCGGTGAAATCGTCCTTGGGAAGTCGGCATAGCCGGGCACATGGATTAGCATGGGAAATGGGGTACCAAAAGAGAAGGGCAGACAGAAATGGCTATTTTTGGCTTATTAACCGTCGTCAACCAGCTAGCCCTTCACAAACCCAGATTTGCAGAACCTGAGATTTGAACCTGGGTTGTTCAGTGCCCTTCTTTTGAGCCACGGGCCTGTTATCCTCTTGCTTGCGATCGGGAATTTTATGTTGACAATGCACTCACCGATCGAGTTACAGGACGTGCTCGGACCCATAACTCAGTGGTGGAGCGTTGGCCCCAGCGACTCCCGATGACCAAGGAACGCCGGTACCCAACCTCAGGTCGGAATGACTTGAGATTCGAACCCGGATTTTTTGATCATTGAGCGTTACGTAGTCCAACGCCCCGCCATTGAGCTACTGGCCCTTCTCTGCAGGTAGCACTAGCCGCCATGCAAGAGCTCTAGGTTGAACCCCAAGACACGGCGAGACGAGCACGTTCTGTAACCTGATTGGCGAACGCGCCTCTACTGTAATTCACTCAAACGGATGTCTCAGGTTTTCTGCTGTTGCATGCACTCATACGCAATCTTCTTCAAATCTTCGCACATATGAAACTTTTTGCCAATATTATATGAACTTCGGCGTATACCGTGCTTAAGGGAACGCGTTGAACGAAGAAATTCCGATAAAAGCTCAGTCGAGTTTTACTATGGAGTCAGCTGGCGAGAGATGTATGTGCACAACAGGTTGCAATCGATTGTTTTAATCGTTTAGAGTGGACGGAGAGTTCGACCGTGAAGAGCAACGAGGCTCATTAGTGATCTAGAGAAAGTCTTTTAAGTGATGCTCTTCATGACGAGGCAGACTATCACAGCATCCACCTCACTCTCACTGTGCTGACAGCGACAGTACAGCTGGGGTGGACGCAGACGCTCTGGCTAGCACGCCTGCGCGTTCCGCGCATATGTTGGTCCCTATTTCATGCAAGACAGACTTCAGAGAATGGTGGATCCGGTGGTGGACACTAAGAGTGTAATGAGGATCAAATTGATGAGCCACATCTGGTGGAGCCAGTTATCCCATCATACCTATTGCTTTTGGCACATCGTGACAGATGAATGTGCCAAATTGCCATGAAGAGGGGCACTCCTATAAATGCCTCAAGTTCTCGCCTCATCTGTGTTGGCAGGGCTGTTGGAGCGCAGTACCTATGTAAGCCTACACATGCATTCCACGCAGGGGCTCAGTGCAGCCTGACTAGCGCATATCGTGAGATAATGTCATTCATTTCGGTCCTGCGTTGGGCTCATGGGAATACTTTAGAGTGACTGGAGGACCAAGAGTTAGGCTGCCAAAGCTCCTTTATGGCCCTTCTCTGCAGGTAGCACTAGCCGCCATGCAAGAGCTCTAGGTTGAACCCCAAGACACGACGAGACGAGCACGTTCTGTAACCTGATCGACGAACGCGCCTCTACTGTAATTCACTTACTCTAAACGACTGTTGCATGCACTCATAAGCAATTTTCTTCAAATCCTCGCACATATAAAACTTTTTGCCAATATTATATGAACTTCGGCGTATACTGTGCTTAAGGGAACGCGTTAAACGAAGAAATTCCGATAAAATCTCAGTCCAGTTTTACTATGGGGTGGACGCAGACGCTCTGGCTAGCAGCCTGCGCGTTCCGCACATATGCTGGTCCCTGTTTCATGCGAGACAGACTTCAGAGAATGGTAGACCCGGTTCGTACACTAAGAGTGTCATGAGGATCAAATTGATGAGCCACTTCTGGTGGGCCCAGTTATCCCATCATACCTATTGCTTTTGGCACGTCGTGACAGATGAATGCGTCAAATTGCCACGAAGAGGGGCATCCCTATAAATGCCTCGAGTTCTCGCCTCGTCTATGTTGGCAGGGCTGTTAGAGCACACAGGGGCTCTGTGCAGCCTGACTAACGCATATCGTGAGATAATGCCACTCATTTTGGTTTTGCGTTGGGCTTATGGGAATTCTTTGGAGTGACTGGAGGACCAAGAGTTAGGCTGCCAAAGCTCCTTCTCATTGTGGCCTTTATGGCATTCTCATGGATGTGAGGTCGGAGTCGCCCGGAAAGCGTGGATGGGCTGTTTACTTTTGTCAATCGCTGCACCCGATCCGGCCTTCGGTCGTCCGGACATCGTCTTACCATCGGAGCCTTATGCATGGGGCCGGTTTTTGTGATAATGCCCATTGAGAGGAACCTTCTGGAAGACTGAACCTTGTCTTCAACCCCGCCTGCCGGATACCCGACAGGTCCTTCGACAGCGACCTTCCAAACACCTTCGCACGAGCTATGTTGCTAAGGCTCCTTCAAATGAGTACTATTGCGCCACACAGCAGGTGTGCCGTGCTCCCGTGACTGAAGTTTAGCAAACTAACTGCTTATCATGGCCGCATGGAATCGCTTAGCTTCATCCTTGCTTGGCGGTCGGCTGCTTCTAAAACCGGATTTGTATCACGTGCATGGAGTGACTGTCGAGGACACGCCCATACGCAAACGACGTCAACCGCGCGCCCTCCGAAGTGAACTTAGGGCGGAGACTTTCGCAGCATCTGCCGCAATCTCCTACCTCACCCACCTGGGCCGTGTCAGAAAAAACGAGGGCGGGCTCGAACGCAGTGGCCGACGAAGCTAAACCGCACGTCTACGCGTACCACACACGACCTTGTTCCTTCCGCATGTGACCAGCTGTAGTAAGGTAGCTGGTATCTCACAGAGGTGAGAATACAGTAAAGGTCACATTGGGAAGGAGCTATTGCCGTCTGACTCTCAGTTCTGGAGATAACTCATTTATCCTCTCAGTTGGCAGCTCCCTGATTCACGACTTATGACGTGCCGCGGTATATTTACGCGCGTAATCTCTCTTATACCGTGGGATGCGCTGAGCTGCTGCAACAAGGGGTCCCCAGTTAATGAAGCCGACGGCCGTCTGCTTCATTGGCTTTGCCGCCGCGTTTGATTCCATTCATCGTGAGTCCCTGTGGTGGATAATGGCGCTAGATGGTGTACCGGCAAAAATCATCGCCATGATCACGGCCTATTATCGCTCCACTACTGCTAGTCCTGGTTCGCAACAATCTTTCCCAACCGTTCGGTATTCGGTATGGCGTCCGACAGGGTTGTATCCTGTCGCCCATTCTGCTATTGCCTGGATCCTTGGGATGGCCCGATACGAAGGTGACGGTGTTGAGTTTGCACCCGGACACCGACTGACTGATCTCAACTATGCCGATAATATCGCCTAACTTGCCCCAAGTTTTGGTGATCTGCAGTCTATGGTGTCAAAGGTGAACGAGGTCGCTTAATCGGTCGGTTTATCCATAAATGCTGGGAAGACCCAAGTGTTTTCAAGCTGCTTCCCTAACCAGGAGAAGGCACCCCTAGGGGTGGATGGCTGTTAACTTGAAGAAGTGGACAGTTTTAAATACCTCGGGGAGAGACTGCTGCCTATTGGACAGAATAAGGACGACATTGTCTCCCGATTTGATACTGCCCGCTGGGTTTTGTCAAGCCTTCGGAAATGCCTATGGATCCGACGTGACCTCTCCATCGCCACTAAGATTCGCGTGTACCGTGCATCTGTCCGGTCTGTCCTTCTGAACGGTTGTAGATGCTGGGCTTTGCGCGTGGAGGACGAGCGAAAACTGGAGGTATTTGACCACCACTGCTTGAGGACCATCCGTCGAGTGAAGTTCACCGACTTCGTCTCAAATGAGACAGTCCGCGCTCGCTGCGACAACATCGCAAGGATAACCCACGACATCCAAGAAAGACGACTGAGGTGGTTCGGGCATGTTCGTCGTTGTCCACCCCAGGAGCTCAGTGCTACTGCCCTCGATCCGGCACCGTTGACCCATTGGAGGCGTCAAAGAGGGAGTCAGCTCAAAACCTGGCTCGACACAGTTCGTCAAGACATACATGTTGTTCTTGGACCTTCGATATTCGGTCTCCGTCGTTGGCGATGAGAGTCGTTTGAACTAACCAGATCTGCTGCCGCGGATCGTCACGCGTGGAGAGGTACAGTTCGTGACATAATCGAGGCCGGTTAGATCAGGCATGATCGCAGCCGTATTAAGTACGAAGGAGAGGACAGGGCGGTAGAGGCTGTGCAAGTCATCGGCGCTGTGCCCGCGCCGTGAAGCATGCGATGAACGTCGTGGCCTACGACTGGAAATTTCGCCACCCCTCCCTGGCTCAGCGTACCTACTGCCGCTGTTAGACTTCTCTGAATCAACTTGTCAGAACTTCTTTCATAATAAGCTGTGAATTTACTTGGTCACGGTGATCTTTCATTAGTGGATCGAATTTTATCTCACGCTGGATGAGACTTCCCAAATTAGAGAATTCCACCTTCATCGGAGTGTTGTCTACACTAAAATTGCTGAGCCTCAGGTTGAAATGGCCATGGACAC